TGACGTCACTGAGGTTCACATTTTTTTAAATTAGAAACACTTATTAAAGGAAAAAATCTAGTTTTGTGTTAGACGTTGAACATTCGTTTTTATTGAGAAATACTCCCAAAATTTCACTTCATGATTTACCCGAGGATTTACCTACAGGTCTAAATTCAAAAAATTCAAAAGAATAATGAGTACAGTTTTTGTAGGCTGATTTCCAAGATTCTTTATGTTGCTATTTTCCACTGGAAAAATTTGAAATTTTGGGAAAATGAGCTTCTCGCCTTCCTCTTTACATGCAAAAAGTTTCAAAATTTTCCCTCCACTAGTTTCCCAGGAAAACTTTGAAATATGTGAGACTGGATTTTCAATTATTTCAGTTATTGTAGGTTGATTTTCAAAATTCCTCATGTTGTTATTTACTACTGGAAAAATTTGAAATTCTGAGAAAAACCTTCCTCTTAACATGCAAAAAGTTTCAAATTTCTGCCTTCGCTAGTTTTCCAGGAAAACTTTGAAATGTGTGAGACTGTATTTTCAATTACATAATTCAATTTTTGTAAGTTGATTTCCAAGATTCTTCATGTTGTTATTTTCCACTGGAAAAATTCAAAATTTTGGGAAAATGAGCTTCTCATCTTCCTCTTTACATGCAAAAAGTTTCAAAATTTTCCCTTCACTAGTTTCCCAGGAAAACTTTGAAATATGTGAGACTGGATTTTCAATTATTTCAGTTATTGTAGGTTGATTTTCAAAATTCCTCATGTTGTTATTTACTACTGGAAAAATTTGAAATTCTGAGAAAAACCTTCCTCTTAACATGCAAAAAGTTTCAAATTTCTGCCTTCGCTAGTTTTCCAGGAAAACTTTGAAATGTGTGAGACTGTATTTTCAATTACATAATTCAATTTTTGTAAGTTGATTTCCAAGATTCTTCATGTTGTTATTTTCCACTGGAAAAATTCAAAATTTTGGGAAAATGAGCTTCTCATCTTCCTCTTTACATGCAAAAAGTTTCAAAATTTTCCCTTCACTAGTTTTCCAGGAAAACTTTGAAATGTCTGAGACTGTATGTTTCATTTTTCAGTTATTATAGGTTGATTCCCAAGATTTCTCATCGAGTTTCTCATGTTGTTATTTTCTACTGGAAAAATTTGAAATTTTGGGAAAATAAGCTTCTAACCTTTCTCTTTATAAGTAAAAAGTTTTAAATTTTTCCCTTCACTAATTTTCCAGCAAAACTTTGAAATGTGCGAGACAGTATTATCAACTAATTTTGTTTTTGACAGGTTGATTTCCAAGAATCTTAATATTGTTATTTTCCACTGGAAAAATTTGAAATTTTGGGAAAATGAGCTTCTCACCTTCCTCTTTACATGCAAAAAGTTTCAAAATTTTTCCCTACTTAGTTTTCCAGGAAAACTTTGAATTGTGTGAGACTGTATTAACAATTATTTCAGTTTTTGTAAGTTGATTTCCATGATTTTTCATGTTATTATTTTCCAATGGAAAAATTTGAAATTATGGAAAAATGAGCCTTGAACCCTAGCTTGAACCTTTCTCTTCACATGCAAAAAGTTTCAAATTTCTCCCTTCACTAGTTTTCCAGGAAAACTTTGAAATCTGTGAGACTGTATTTTCAATTAATTCAGTTTTTGTAGGTTGATTTAAAAGATTCTTTTTGCGTTATTTTCCACTAGAAAAATTTGAAACTTTGAGAAAATGAGCCTCTAACCTTCTTCTTCACATGCAAAAAGTTTCAAATTTTTTCCTTCACTAGTATTCCAGGAAAACTTTGAAATGCATGAGACTGTATTTTCAGTTAGTTCAGATTTTGTAAGTTGATTTCCAAAATTCTTTATGATGCTATTTTTTACTGGAAAAAAGTGAAATTTCGGGAAACTGAGCCTGTAACTTTCTTTTTCACATACAAAAAGTATCAAATTTTTCCCTTCACTAGTTTTCCAGGAAAATTTTGAAATGTGTGAGACTGCATTTTCAATTAATTCAGTTATAGTAGGTTGATTCTGAGGTTGATTCCCAAGATTCTTCATGTTGTTATTTTCTACTGGAAAAATTTGAATTGAATTGAATACCTAATTAATAATGGAAAAACCTCGGGAAAAACATAATAAAAGTGACCCATCCATCGTTAGTTCTGAGATTGTTTCAGAAGATCGGATAAATTTTAAAAGTGAATTGATTATGATTTCAGAAGAGGTACAAAATCTCCTTAAAAATGACCCTGAATGCAAAGAAACTTCAAGCTACTTGAAGTTGAAACAAATTTATCTGTAATTTGGAGGAATTTACAGGGAATTTAGAGGAATTTGTGGGGTATTTGGAGAAATTTGTAATGGGGTATTTGGGAAAATTGGTGATGGGGTATCTAGAGGAATTTGTGGGGAATTTGGAGAAATTTGCAAGAATTTTGAGGAATTATGTGTAGAAAATTCCCCTTTGAGGAATTGTGTGCACAAATTCTGGGATGGTGGTTTACCCTTTTACATTTGCATTTACCAATATGTAGGTACTTAGGTATTTAGTGATAGCCTATTATCTTCACAGAAAATTAGGATTTTATCTACATCCCTCTGTAAAAGTATTGCACCTATCATTTTTGTTTTCAATAATTTTGAAGATCCTTAGATTGTTGGCATATAGTAAGAGCTCTGAACTACCCACATAATTAGATGTCATTAACAAACAACACAAAGAGCAAAGGTCCAAGAGTTAAGGCATTTTGAAATATCTTATAGAAATTCAAAAATTCACACTTACACTTTTTTTATTGGTGAGAGTTACTTATCAGCTGTGCATACCATTAGTACAGTCGGAATCATTGCAATTGGCACACTCTTTAAAATCCCTCGTATTAAATCAAAATTGTAACCAATAAGGGCCGATACTTTTGCTCTCGATTAACGAATTTGATACGTCGTCAAAGTTTTGCATGGGCCAAGGTCTATAAGTATGATGTGGTTAGAGCACATTCAAACCCCTGATTATTTTTAACGGCTGTCAAATGAGAGCAAAAGTACCGGCACTAAATCTATTTAGTGCAGCATTTGCTATTAGTCCAAGAGCCCAGAGCCGCCAGACACAACTTATTTTCTAAAGGACAGAATATGTGGGATTGAGTAGCACTTATAGGTACTATGAACGTATGTATACTCGCTAAGTTGGGCAGACGGCCAGTTGACTGTTATTTGTAAATAACGGTTTTTCCCATTATGGGAAAAACCGAATCCCATTTCTACTCTAGCCTGGAGTAGACTGTAAGTTTAAGAGGGGGAAATAGATATCTCGATCACTCTCAAACGCATGCATAGTACCCTCGCGCTCACGCTCACGGAAAAACTATTATTGTGTCTGGGGGGATGTTTGGCCGGTGCGATTGGTCTGGCTGAGCACACATAGTTATGAAATAGTCTCCCCAATAACATGTATAAAAATCATCGTTAGAAAAAAAGTTAAAGTACTTTTTAAGCTTTCGCACCTGGTGTTGGTAAATTGGCCGTCTACCCAACTTAGCGGGTATACATACGTTCATAGTACATATAAGTGCTACACAATCCCACATATTCTGTCCTTTAGAAAATAAGTTGTGTCTGGCGGCTCTGGGCTCTTGGACTATATTACTGTGTTTCAGATTTGATACATTACGAGGGATATTTATATAGTGTGCGCCAATTGCAATGATTTCCACTGTACCAGTCTGAGTATTAGTCATTTACACTTTATTTTTTCCCAAGATAGATTTTGACATTGAAAACTTTGAAACATAAAGAATAACGCTTGACCCTGACTGGTTGCAAAATGAGGTGTTTCTGCAGGTTGACATCAGTTTCACAATAGCGACCAATAAGCGGCATTATCGGCATTGTTTATGTTTCAAAGTTGACAATGCCAAAATCTATCTTGGAAAAAAATAAACCATAAATGATTTATGATTATTATTATCTTCATATAGTTATCATTACTTACTTTTTGTTAGAAATTAGCAAAATGAAAAAGAACATAATTAATCAAAATCTGAAGCTCTCCAAAACCAATAAACCATAATAAAATTCTTGAGAGAGAGGCCTTTTTTTTCTTAGTAAGTACCTTAAGTTCTTTATGATTTTAGATACTTAAATATAGGAGCAGGAGCAGAAATATAATTTCAAATATTAAGTGTAAGTACTCAATATTAAAGTAATCACTGAAAAAAGTTGGAAAAATTTGAGAAACCTTAGAAATTCAGGCCTATAAAGAACCTAATTCTGGTACACAAAAATAAATTGAAAAAACATTTTCTACTAATATAGGAGACTGCTAGCTTTCATAAACCTAACAGTCCCTAAGTTTTTTTTTTATTTTCTCAAAAACTAGAGGAGCACCGGAGCACCTAATTTTTAATTAGAGGCCCTATTAGCACTTAATTATTATATAGTCCCAAAAGTTTTTTTTCACCATGGGACTGCTTAGGTTCATAAACCTGAGAAATTCTCAGCTTCCAAACTTGTCTGCTTTTGAAGGGCAATTTCAATTTACTCCATTATGTGCTTATTTTCTCTTGGCTCTAAGTTCTTAGCTTAGAGTTGGAGAAAATTTCACTTCTATATTTTTGAAGCCACACAAGAATGCTACAATTAATTTTTTAAATTGATTTCAACTATGAAATCATGTTTATTTTTAGGGATAACCTCAGGAGAAACTTTAAAAAAACTGTCCGTTTTATCATTACTAGAGGGAGGCAAACCTTTATTAAATCAGTACAATAAACACTCGAGCATAATTTGAGAAAAATTCTACATCTGATGCGATGAAATTTAATGATATTGCAGGCAAATATGTGTGCCAATAATTGAATAAAAGATGTAGGCTTCAAATGACTGATTTCACTACTTTTTCAGATACCCACCTCAGCCCCTGGGGGCAACAATAATTAAAATGACCCCGTTTCTTGCCTGATCAATTAACGAAGGGTTTTTCAACCTAAATTTACTACATAAAATGTTCTTACTTCTTACCTGTTTCGTATAGAAAGAATCATCAGCCTCTGAATAACTTTTACGTTCTCCACGGTCCATTTCATCTGGCGGTTTATCACCACTCGGTCCTGGGCTGGAACTAGAAGAGTTTTTCGAAAATATCTTCGAAATTGCACTCCACATTCACGAAATATTTGCACAAAAATACAAGTCTGCCCTTCGACAATATCATCGCCTGAAGTCGGCCTACGCAAGCTTACCGATCGGTTTCCGCTACTTTTTCGACACGAACTACTTTAATTTGTATTTATTTAGGTTCGGGACGTTGTTAGAAGTATTTTGTGGTCATTTTATGGGCTATTTTGCGATTTATTTGATAATATTTTGAGGAATTTATTTCACTAGTGGATCTTGACAGAATTTTTCTTTGCGACGCTAGCGACGCGGTACGGAAGGTCATGCAAACTTGTGTGAATTGTCATTTTTGACTTGTCAATAATTAGGCCGCGTTCCGTTTCAACAACGATTGAACGATTTCGTTTAGGAATCTTTCTAGAGCTGAGCTTAGTTATCGAACTCTTTGCAAGTGCCTAGAATCGATACAAAGTGCAATTTACAAGCTCGTCGAAATGCAAGGATAATACGCAGGATAGCGTATCCTCATAAGGCCAGTGTGGTTCAAATGTATCACCAGTCACGACGTAGAGAGCATGTCGTTTCTCGTAAACTTGGTTTCTCGCCTTGACGTGGACTTGACATACGTAATAGGTAATAGGGTGTTTGCAAGGATAATACCATTCTAAATAAACACTACTACTGTATTTATTTCTGTTTTAACTTTTCTTGGTTCGATTTGATGGTTTCTTTTTACAAGGTAGCCTATCTTCAAAAGACTTGTGTGTAACAAATGCCAAGTGTGATGTAGGAAGCATGTTATTTCTTGCCTTGACGTAGGCTGTTTAGACCAGAGACCCGGACCGAAATGAAATATCGGTTCCGTTTTGGTTCCGGTTCATAGCGTCATGACAAAAATATCGATTTCGGTTCTAAGAGAGATATTTCGATTCGGTTCGAACCAATAATTTGGGTTTTAACGGTATAGTTATTCACAAATATCTGATAATTATTATAATTAATAATGATAAATGTTTGTGTGCTCGATCAGTTAATCAATAAAAATCTCAATCCCCCATCAAGCCAAAGTACCAGTGATGACGTAGCAGCGTGTCGTTTCTCGCTTTGACGTTGGTGCAAGCACTCTACGAAACCGAAAAATACCGGTAAGAACCGATTAATTTATATCGGTTCCGGTTCTGCCTGCCTCTCAACATTTCTATGAAATACGGGTTTCGTTTCGGTTCCGGTCTGCAAAAAAAATGGTTCCGTAATATGGCTACGATTGAGATTACCAGCGGCCGATAAGCACCCCTTAGGGCCGGTTTCTCAATAGCGAGTCACCTCCAGGCTAGTTTTAACTCCAAGGCACGTGTACCCTGCTGCAGTTGCTATGTTTACCCTGGAGTTATATGCTTAACTCGGAGGTGACTCGCTATTGAGAAACCGGCCCTGAGTGTGCATTCTCCTTCGGCAGCATATCCTTTCTCGCCTTGACTTTGGCTGTTGGCTGTTTGTACTAGAGGTTATGATTTAGCGGGCTTTTGCTTTATGCATACTTGGTTTTTACTACTACATTAATTAACATTTTAAAATAACTCTTTTTTTAAATCTCGTTTTCATCTTCTTCTCTCTTTTTAAATTTTGGCGCGTGAATAATCGAATGTAATTTTAACCTCAAAAGTCAAGTTTGATGTGTGGTTTTAAGACAAGCTGACACTTTTGAAAACATCCTTGAAGGGCCACTGAACGTTTTGGAAGACATTTTAACTTATTCACTGTTCATTGTTCATATGTAGTCATCTTTCTTCCTACTTATTAAAACGGTTTAAAACTATTGACATTTACCGCCAAAATTCAAAGCACTCCAAGTTCACTCGCGCCCTCTAGAAAATTTTGGGGAACTTAACTGGATATTTGCTGCCATTCCTTTCGAAAGGTGCCTGTTGCACCACGCATCTGTTCCCTGCAAATCGGGGGCTACTGAACACCAGAGCGAGTAGCTCGAATGTTTCAAACTCTTGAAAGGAATACAACTAATGTCTACATAGTTTACATAGTCTACATGGAAAAAAGTGGATGTAAACAATACGTAGACAACGAGTAGACAAACCGCGTAAAGTAGATTTCAAAGTTTACGTCACATCCCTGGTTTATACTCTCATTAAGCTTCTTGACAAACTTCCAGTCTCCTCGAACGGCCCAAAAATCTCAAAATTCAAATTGGAAATTTGCATCTCGGATGTGTTCCCCCTGAACAAATTCCTGTTAACTTAATGGAAACGAATGCGTAGCTCGGATTTCCTTGGAGCCGGTTCTAAATTTTCAGAATTCTCACTGCCCCAGGGTGTGATGGAATCGCCACTAAGTCCCCTCATTTCACAGTGCAACTGCGCCATTATGTTTCGAACTTGATCGGAGTCGGAGTTAGCGTTGGGTATTCGAATACGCCATTTATAAATAATGTAAAACAAAATTAAAAAATTATTCTCATCGTAAATTCATATCTATTCTAATCAACGACCGCTGGTGCAAACAGCTAACGACATTAGGTGGGTTCGGGATGACTGTTCTATAAACTCCAAGTGCACTAAACACTCCCGATGCGTTCGGGTTTTGTCATTTTGAGCTAAGAGAGTAACTCCACATGCGTTCGGGAAGGACGTGCGGGAGTCAAAAGAGCTGACTCTGAAAGCACCACCTCGTCATCAGCAAGCGCCGGAGCGGGCATGCGCACACAATCGACTATTCGACTAATCGACAGTCAATAAATCAATATTTAATCTGTAATTTCTTGGTAAATGGATGGAATGGAATGGATTTTAAACTGCTTATTTGACATGCAAGCAACGCGTAATTTCACTGAAATTTCCAATGATAATCTTAATGACTTCTTTAGACAAGTCTGCGAAATAAACGTCCTCAACAAAATCAAATAGGCACCAAATACCAAAAATTCATAGAAAAGACTAGAAAAACGTTTGTTGTTTTTAAAATAATACTTGTCATTTTGTGAGTTAGGTTAAGTTAGGAAACTCCAAATGCACCTTGGCCGTTCGGTTTCACTAATACACTCCAAAAGCTTTTCGGTCACGTGATAAAAACGCCACTCCAACTCTACTCGAGCTCCGCTGGGGCATCCCGAACCCAGCTATTGTTGACGACGTCGGTAATGGTGCAACGTCATATGACCGTGATTCCAAAAATCGAGGCCAATCAGTAATCCTGTAGTAGTAGTAGTAGCAGTGTTTAATATCCTTGGATTGTTGAAGCTTTTTCCTAACTAATTTTGGTATCGATTTTCCCTTCCCAATAACAGTCAAGCCAAGCCAAGGCTCCTAAAGTTAATAGGTTGCCTGGTAAGGGGTAACTTAATGGTGTCATTCGGGGTGCATTATGTTTAGGCACCTTAGATGACTTCATAAAAGTTATCAGAATCGTTTCCAGTGACGCACTTTAAGCACTCATGAGCTCTAGAGCACCCCGGGTTGCTTATAAGCGTTCCAGTGCCTCAGAGTTTCGCGCAAGTGAACCGTTCGTTTTTCCTCTTCCCCTAACCTCTCAACAAGCACCAGCAATTTTATGGGTGCATCAAAAACAGGACGTTTAACTAGGGTGCGTTCCAGTGAAACAGCAGTTGTTCGGAGCACCAGAGTGTGAAGCTACGGGTGTGGAGCGGCTCAGGGCTCAGGCAACCTCTCTCAAAACAAAATCAACCTTTGGCTGAGTTCATTTTAGTCACTCCGTGCACTCTAAGTACTCGAGCACTCTGACCGTTCGGGTATAACTTTTTAGCGTAAATGGAGTAACTACGTTCTCGAATTCGAGTAGATTCAACTTACTCTAAAAATATCATTAATAATAGGGATGTCAATAACCGGTGGTTAAAACCGAAAAACCGGTGTTTTCTCTTCGGTTAACCGGTTAAAACCAGTTTTTTTTTGCTTCCAGTTATAAGCGGATAACCGGGTTTTATACCTAATAACCGGTGAAAGTGAAATAAGTAGACTTTTCTCTCGTCTTATTAAATAAATTGTAAAATATTGAGTAAGCGACAACAGTCGAATATTTCCTCAGTCTTCAACCGATAGTAGTGACCATCTCTAGTATTTCATCTCAGTTTCGGTTAGTTTGTTCAGCAGCTGGTTGTTTTCCATCTTTCCCTAATGAACGGACTTGAAAAAGACATATACATGTGGGTTGAGATACATGTCAATACAGTGGCTAAATAAACCTTTACATACGGTGGCGACAATAGAGGTCCCGCCACCATTTTGTTCCCAACCCCTTGTTACTTTTAAATATTAATATATAGGATTTAAATGGACATCTATCATAAAAAATTGAAATCGACGTATTTAATGACCATTATTAGATCCATCAAATACGTTGTTTTCCATGATTTATGATGAATGTTCACCTAAATCACAAATATTCATATTTAAAAGTAACAAGGGGTTGGGAATAAGATGGCAGTGTTTTCAATGTAAATATATGGGTTTTTAGAACCAATCAAAAATGAGACAGCAATTGTCGCCACTGTGGGTTATAGAGTCACTGTACATGTCAACGGCTACATGTTTAAAATGACAGAAGAGAAATAATCAGTACATAAAAGTGTACCCTTTGGCCATGTTCGTAGTTCCCGATTTTTTTAGAATAAAGATATGTGGTTCTTTAACTTACGTTATATACCTATATATATATATATATATATATATATATATATATATATATATATATATATATATATATATATATATATATATATATATATATATATATAAATTATGCAATTATTCTGATGAAATTCGGGAAAATAACCGAGCAACCAGTTAATCGGAATAACCGGTTTTTTATATCAGTTATAACCGGGCAGTTAAAATTATTATTAAATTAACCGGTATATGGAAAAACCGGTGTTTTAAAAAAACTTGACATCCCTAATTAATAGGCATTTTTTGGCGAGGATAATCTAGCATAATCTGAGCTGCTTTCCAGTATGCACATTGGCGCGCTCTATTGCTCCCCGGAAGCGCCACGCACTAGATTTGTACCGTTCCAGTATCATGACGTGTGACGTTTGTCCGTACGTATAGCTCGGGAGCTCAACGCTCCGAGTAGCTCCGAGCGTCACACTCCCATACTAGAAAGCGGCCCTTATTAGGCCTAGTACTCATAACTGCGAAATTCGCTCTTTTTTGACATTGCTTTGACAATTTGTTGATTCGCGCATAAAACGTCAAAATGTCGACACTGTTAAAAAAGAGCGGATTTCGCGGTTAGAGTACTAGACTTTATGCTGGGTTATGTGATGTGTCAATTGTGTCATATTCCCC